TGGACAATGATTTCTCGCGCTGCTACCTGCTGTCTATCAATGTTGACGAAGTGAGTCCTTCCCTATACATCTCAACAACTAGGATGATACTGACTCGTATACAGCCATAATGTGAATTTCAATGAGTGGGAAGGCGATATGAAATCTCGCGTATATTGGAACTGTCTAATGAATGAGACCATTCTCGTACAAGAGTTGCACCTCCCATCAAGTGGCCTCTCTCGTCTCGAAGAACATGTCCCAATTCCCAAATTCATCGGCTTCGAAACAACCGGCTACGGCTCAAACCGGTTCAACTCATCAAGCGTAGTTGACGACTCATACTTCCAATATCATTTCCTGGCCCAGGTAGCCCACCGCATTATCCTCACGCGCATCCGCCATTCCCTCTACTTCTACTGTGAGTTATCCTGCCAGACAGCCAAAACAAAAGCCAAAATCCATCCTCTAACACCTATCCTCTATCTAGCCGACTCAGGAACCTTCCCCCTCCCGGCAATAAACACAGAGCTACACCACCAACTAGAACAATGGCGCACCAACCTTCCAACAGCAATCCAATTCAACAACGCCCCTTATTCCTCCCACCCAACCCCAGCAACACCCTCCATCCACCACCCATCTCCGTCCGCCTCAGTAGCATCTCCGGCTCACCTCTCTTCCCCAAGACAAAGACAGACAGATCCGAACAAGCCTCTCTCCCCGGCAATAGCAGTAGCAGACGCCATGCTTAAAGGCCGACATATGATCGCACGCTTCCACATCGGCCGCCCGTATTTATATAAAGCCCTCCGAATCCCGCATCTCCTAACAGACGAAGACTTTGTGCAAGTGCGAAGCGGTCTCCAGAATGCAATGGACTGGCCGATCACTCAGGGAATCTTCCGGAAAATGAAGAGCTGTATTCCGATTAAATTTGCTTTTTGTTCGCAGTGAGTTGCCACTTCCACATTTCCCTTTGCATTTATTTCAATATGATTATATGCTTGGACGGGTTCAACTGACTTTTCTTCGCTCAAGATTCTTCGGCCAAATCCTGCTTTTCTATTGTATAGCCCATTCGCCGAGTGCTCGTGTCCGCGAGACACTGCCAGATGGTTGGGAACGCTGGAACGAGGAGATGATAGGGTTTTTGGAGGACTGTGCAGTACATAGTCCGGCCATTGCGCAGGATCTCGAACTGCTGCGGCATCTATGGCCTGAGAACTAGGTATTCTGCGCTTTATGGGGTAGGTGTATTCTATCCTTTTGAGATAGACATAGCCTTTTGTTCATCTTTCTCCTTTCCAACCACCTTTCCGGGAATTTGTTTATTTGCGCATGGAGTTGGGTAGATTACTCACTGTGCACTTACTGTATTCGTGTTATATCTTTTTCAGGTGTGTACAAAATTTAATATTTGAATCCGAATCAAATTCAGTTTAGCCATGTCTATATACGAGGGCTAGGCGTCATTTATCGTGTAGGACCTGCTTAAGACAAGGAAGGGTATTGCGAAAAATCAAAAACAAAACAAAACAAAAAAGTATCTCTGCAGGAATATTGTCTGACCACCACACGAGGAAGATATTAAACGGCGCCTCATGCCATGGCGAACACATCAAAATCGACTGGGAGATGCACATCAGAGAGCCCAGTCCTCGGCCGCCTCCGAGCTTGCAATGAAGGGTTTGTCAATTTGTTTGATGGCATGGTCACCACAGAGGATGCTGCGGATATGGTTAGTGAGATATACCGCCGATAGGCTAATAGGAAAGATGCATACCAAGCTTCAGCAACTAGCCCATCTAATTCCTTGACAATCTCCTCACGCCGCGAGGCAGAGATATCACCACTGCTGAGCTGCGCCTGCAGATCCCGAATATACTTTTTCTTGCCACCAGCGCCCTCCAAGACCTCCCTACCCAGGCAGTCACTGTGGAAAGCATGCTGGCAGGGAAAGACGAAGAACTGACGGCTGAGAACGGGTAGCGAGCAGATCCAGCACCTCTCGCCTGGCTCAACGATGGCGTAGCGAGTATCGAGACCGGAAATTTCACCGCGGATTTGGCGGGCTGTCAGGGCTGAGTTATCCATTTCCTGGCGGAGCGAGTCGATGTGGCGCGAGTAGTCCTCCAAAGCAGTACAAATTTCATCCTTGAAGTCGTCGATGACGACGAAATCGGGGAAGAATGGGATCAAGTCCTCGATCCGGAGCAGCTCGCAGCGGCGTAGGAATTCAATCGCGTCTTTGATTCCCGTGCCCGGTTGGCGGATCTTTTTCTCGGCGACGAGGAGCCATAGCTTTTTGCGGAGCTTGTCGTTGCCCTCAGGGCGGTCGGCGACGATCGCGGCTAATTCTATGTCATTGTGCTCTAGGGCTAGCTCTACAGCCTGTAGATACTGTCCCATTGTACTGTAGATGTGAATGCATGACTGGATTCGTTGATTTTGAATGCACAGGCGAAGTGCGAAGTCTGCATCGTATGGAGGGGTGGATGCTGGTTGCGATTGGAGATAAGTAAGCAGTCCAGCCTCAGACGATGAAGGACTGGAGGCATGTATTGAGATAAGGGTGTTGTGGACTGCTGCAGATGGATTTGGGTGGTTGACAATGATGAAGTTCAGATACCGGACGGCTTGATTCTGGTTGAGGGAAGAGACGCTGGCAGATTTGTTGTAATTCAATAAGGCGGGGATCAGTCTCTCAGGATCAAGGTTCGTCTGTCGCATCAGAATATCGACCAGGTCTGTCGGCTTGTGTGTCATCAGCACACTGCTATACTTGTAGAACACATCGGCTTCACTTTGCCGCTGCAAAACCTTCAAAGCTTCCAGCCATTTCTCGCGCTGAATCCAGTACGATAGAACATAGTTGTAATCGTTCGTAGCGGTGGCGAAGAACAACAATTCTTCCTCCCGCCCGTGGCTGCTGATAATATCGTATACTGTTTTCTTGTCCAAGTCTGCTTTGTGGCTGTTCACAAACTCTTGGAAATCAGCCCGAATGCTGCCAAGCTGATCCTTGATTTCTCCAGTGCTTGTGCCTTCTGCCAATTCGGCTTTGGTGGCTATATTGTCATCGAGAGAGTTCAACTTTGACATGAACAGTTCCACAAGCCAGCTCGCGACCATTATTCTTTGCATAAGCGAGGCCTTCTTGTATGTTGCCAGCTGGGAGAGGAGGTAGTTCCTCAAAGCATCATGCTCTTTATGGTCAATCATAGTAAGGCAAACCTCCTCGAACCCTTTGCTGCTCTTGCCCCACACTTTAGCTGCCTCGAGGAAGTTACCCTTGCCTGCCAGAAAATCACCCGAAGCAGTCATAACAGCATCTCGCTGAGCAGCACCTCGGGCATACTGAAGAGCCTCATCGAACTTTTGCTCTTTCAAAAAGATTTTCCAGACATCTCTGTCCTCATCACCTGCTACAACTTCAAAAATGGCTTGGCTGGTGAAAAGCCAATATGTGTTTTTGGTGAGATCAGTCAAGAGGCCCAGCGCGCTCTGCCCAGCTTCCAAAACGGGTTGATCGTGGACAATTTCCTGGCTGAGACGATTGACTGCGACCACTCTGCCTCCAACAAGTGTTAGGATATGCCACTGTGACAGAGTCATGGCAGAAATCGGGTCTTGTATCAACTTCCGGCCTCCTCGCGGCGATTCCGAAGCTGGAAATATCGAGCGTGCAAGCATATTTGCGGTGTTGAATGGGGACTCCGACGCAAGTTGGCCATGGTATATCCCCTCGGAACTGAGCCACGCAAACTGCTTTTCGGTATACCCCTCGGCCTGATAGCTCTCCGAGATTGTGGGCGAAATTGCCAGCGAAGATGGCGCAGAGCTAGACGAGTTTGGAACCTCATGGATCACTGGCATCTCGCGCTGGAAAAGCTCCGAATACACGCCGCTTTCCCTCCCATGCCTTGAAACTCCTGTCCGGCCAATGAAATGAAGTAGTTTCCCGTAGGTTGCCACAAGTACCCTTCTTTGGTCAGGCTTAGAAAACACCGGTTCCACCGATATTCCAACCACCGGAGAGGCGCCTGGCACTTGGTAGACCGGGGTGGTATACTTCTCCTGCCGGTAGCTGGAGGGTTCAATATAAGTCTCGTAGACGTTGCCATCAGTGGCACCAATGAGTATTTCGCGGGTAGAGGCGGTGGGTAAAGAGGGATTCCAAGCAACGCTTTCGATTGACACGCCTTTTAATCGCGTCAAGGGTTTCGGTTGTCGCGACGGTGACTGGGCATGGAGATAGTAGTTTTCGCCGAGGGTTGTGGTGATAATCAAATGAGATGCCGACGGGTCGAGGAACATGCGCCGAATCACTCCAACTTCTGAGGATTTCTTGGGGAGATCGATGTCTGTTGTACATGGGCACGGTTAGGTCAACTTGTGGCTAGCATTTGCTGCGGGGAAACGTTCGGAGGCCTACCTTCGACATCTTCAGGGGAATCAAGATCGATTCGGAGAATGCGATTAGTTGATAAGGCTAGCACAAGCACATTGTTCGCTACTTGCGCTGCAACGAAGTCTGCAGCGACGGAGAAGGCCAACTGCACCCGTTCAACGTCGAACATGGGGAGAGAAGAGCTCGGTGGCTCCATTAAGTTGCTCGGAGCAATATAACTGCTGGATCCGTCCAGCGCCATAATGCGCTAGCTGTAGGGGCGCTATGTCATGCCTCTCATACAAGAGTTGAGGCAAGTTGAAGGTTTTGCGAGTTGATGCAGGACGGAATGGGCTCTTCGAGGTCGGAGGCCGAAGGAATGCGGAGGCCTTCCTTGACACCTGAGGCCAAGGCTATGGATCACCAAAGCAGAACTACAAAGTAACTACTCACTTGGGTCTATAATACAAATCACAATTATTTGTAGGCAATTGATTCCAACCTAAATATCACAAACACCAAAGTCACTGCTCATGCAACATGGGTATCATTGTCTGTGAAACATGCAATAGCTGGATGGGTATCTCAAAAAAAAAAAAAAAGGAAATCCTGGCATCACCGGCCGGGCTCACATTACTACACATTCTCGATCCAATTTCTTGCCCTTCTCCTTGGACTTCTCCTTTGCCTTCCCTTTCTGCTTCTCGCGATCCTTTGTTAGGCCTCTTCCGCGCTTCTCCTTGTTCTCAAGGGCAGCTGGCCCGAGTTTCATATCGTCCACAGTGTCATCAATCTCCAATGCAGACTCATCTTCTTTACCCTCAGTAAATTCATGGCTAATTTTATCCCGACTAAGCCGTTCAGCGAAGCGTGAAAAAGTGGCACTGATTCTATTTTCTCCCGTTTGGCTGCCAGCACGGCTTCCGGGAGTACTCCTGGCCGATCGAGACCCACGGCGCGAGAACGAAGTCCCCCTTGTGCTTATTTCTTCCATCGATGCCAACCTAGGCGATGATGATGGAACTGAGCGCGGTTGAAGACCAGCTGGATTACTGGTTTCTGAGAATGCTATGCTGGATCGCCTTGCGATGCTGGCTAATGTTGGTGCATCAGTCTCGCATGGCCCCGTGACCTCAACACTTGGTCGGTCGGAAACAAAGTCCTCTGCGCCGAAATCCATTTGGTCGGCTAGTGTACTGCCGTCTGAAGCCCGCGATGATGGTGCATTTGGAATGTTGAGCGCAGATGGATCTTCGCCGATCGGAAGAATTTGGTAGAACAGAAGATATGGGGATTCAGTCTTCAATGCGTCGTCAATGTCAACCAATGTCACTCGTTCTGCTGCGAGATCATCGAACCGCATCCAGTGTTTTGATGTCTCCGGGGCTTCCGGGCCAGTGGTGACAGGAGTGCTACCATTGGGGCAACTAGTGCCTCGGACAATGGAAATGTAATGCCCCGAGTCAACCGAGTTGCCCCTGTGGCAAACCAGAGCCTGTAAAGAGAGTTTAAAGCTCCCATAGATAGGAGCATTCGCATCCAAGTTGTCGTCCTGGATGAAGTGAGGTAGGCCGATCTCGGTTGGTATATCAATGTGTGTATTGAGTCTGACTGCCTTCCCGTCTGGCAAGAAGGAATAGCGTTTCAGACACATACCAAGAATCGGCCGTTTTGAAGAAAAGTGTGCTGCAACTTGCGCGTCATTTGTTGGTGTATTGTCAGTATACCAGGCTAAGCAAGATCAGTCAGTTCACGCAAAACTCAACAGGAGGAAAGGAGACGACATACGTATCAAGCTGAAAAATTGCCATGCAGGCATCATTACCTCTTTCTTATATGAGCCCCTTCGCGGTTGCGCATCTCCACTGGTATCTTGCTCTGCACTGGTATCTTTCTCCGGTTTCGAATCTCCGGTGTTTGTCTCCTCACTTGGATCTGGAAAGAATCGCTCCCGAACTATACTAGCACGCCGACCAGGTGCCCGAGATGCCTCAAGGGATTCGGTGAACTCACTAAACGATGACCATGGGTTTGTTTTTTCGGCCCGCGGCGTATTTGTTTGAGAAGGAGACATAGTGGGCGTGGTCTCAATCTCCACCGTCTCAACATGCGAGGTGGATCCCTTGGATATAGAGAGTGAATCCATCGATCTAATCGAGCTAGCGGTGTTACGTCGTGCCATGTGTCGTTTGACTTCAATCATGTTGTTGAAGTAGGCTTCCAGACAGTCTTCCAGTGTAAGTGACTGTCCATCAGTTGGCTCGGGAGGTATGGCAACCTCGAGAAGCCTCTCGTTGATGAACTTATGGTCATCACTTTCATCCTCCTTTCCAGTATGATAGATGTCCATCTTCAAAGTCAGAAGTGGCAGTTCTAGCTTTTCGGTGATGAAAGTGAATGCCTCTGAAGCATCCTGTTGCTGAAGTTTGGCCGCATCTTCCCAGCCACATTCTGCTAGGGACTCCTGTAGGTGTTTTGTCTGAGGCCACCTAGTCAATACCAATGTGAAAGAATAGGAAAACCACAAGCGTTATAACTAACCATATCTGTTTTGATGAGCTTGCCTGATCGCAGCAGATTCACCCATAGTCTCAGAAGGATTGCAAGCTTTCGACGAGGCTCATCATTAAAGGATTTGTATAGAATGGCCTCAAAACAATCGAGACGGGCAAACATAGCAAATAATAACGCGTCCAGATAGCATGTAACACCTTGACGATTCTCTGCGCCTAGGAGTTTCGTATTGGGAGTGTAATTCCTGATTATTCCTTCGATAGAGTCTTCTAGCAGAAGCAGCAGACTGAATGCCTTCTCTGTATCGCCGTCTGTGGCTTGTAATGCATAATTCATATGCTCTTCTTCTATCGCAACAATTCCAAGCTGTTTAAGGCGCTGAGCGAGGGCTTTGACCTATGTTGATTTAGAATATTAGACAGGTGCAAGCTGACCGTAATGCGCTCAGACCCATACCTTCTTCTCATGATCGTGATCTTCCAGTGTGGTTTCTGACTTGAAAATTCCATGGAACAGAGGGCGCGAAAGAATATTGGAAGCCTAAGAAGCACAAAACGTTAGTTAATATAAGATCTTGTATTTTGAAGCATCATCGTAGCGTTTTGTGCACGCATACCTCTTCTTTGCTTTGCTTGTTCAGCTTATTGTGCCGGTCGCGACGCGTCAGGAACCGATGAATGCCACTCATTATTGCTGGTGAAGAAAATAGAAAACACTTCCAAGAGCAGACTTTCTAGATTGAAAGGAAAAACCACAAGATTGGAGACATGCGGGGGGATCAGAAGACCTGTAAACTAGCTCCGAGCTTAGTCAAGGCTGCAGGATTTGTGGGAAGCGCAAGTAAGATGCATAATAAGCAGAGCTTTTCTGATATGAACACGCGTCGAAAAGAAGCAGGCAAGGATGAAATGATTCGAAGTTGAACCTCCAGGTGATCTGCGGGGCAGAGCAGGAAGAAGCAGTAGCTTGGCCCTTTCTGCCTTAGGCGATAGTCCTGGCCCCTAATCTTTAGCTTCTCACCGCCTGTAGAGGGCGGTGACAAGGGTGTTGAACTCTAGAGCTCTAGAAGACTTCTAAGAGTGAATATCCATATGGGTAGTATACCATGAGCAAGAAATGGCAAGAGAATCAATGTATATCACCTCGTCTCAGCTAATTCAATAGGATCGTCTTGAACTATAACACATTCATCCAGTTGACGTCAGATTCAGATAAATTGATTCTTCTTCGAACCACTACAACTAGGTTGTGGTAGTCTCTATAAACTTGATGGTGTTCGTACAAGGAAGGGAGTTCAAGGCCACTTTTATCCGCGAAGATAGTACCTCCGTCTTGAAAGGTTAAGGCTATGATATTATGCAGAGCCCTATAAGCTCCTGGTAACGTCCACTTATAGTATGGTTATTGCCTCTCACTTTATAATAAACCATACTTATCTTTGCATCGCCATGGATAATTCATTGCCATTAATGTCGCCAAGCCTCCAGATGTCCTCTTTGAGTATATCCCAGCGAGGAACAATTCCTCTTCCTAAACGGTCTATTCCAGTTGGCCAAAGATTGCTTGCCTACCACCCCTAAGATCAATTTTGAGTTTAGATCAAGTTTTATGAGCAAGTGAATCCATGCATCCAAGGAATATCTCCCATAAAATGTGTTTTCTTTTTTTCTGCAGTAGTAAACGTGGTGAATGACCTCGGGAACCGCCTCATGTTGGCTGATCAGAATTTGGTCAGATCTCCGCGAATACAGGTAGGATCTGACCTAAAAGTGACGTTGAGCAGGTTAACCACTAGAGAGTGAGTCGAAGGCCCATTGGTCTAGAAAAAAATATCTGGGCCGAGCAATAATTGACAAATTATCCAAGGTCTCTATGGATGTAGTTAGTTACAGGATATAGTGCCTGTTTTATAAGGCTTTGGTATCCAGTGTCTCACGTGACGGGATTATCTGCGCGAACAATTTTTGGGAAGGGTCCGGGATGATCACCAATCCATCACACTACATTTCCCACAGAATGGCTGCCAGAGAGCCATCCAGGTACCTAACAAGGGCATTGCCCCGGGCCTCAGTGCCATCAATTCGCCCTCAAGGCTTTTTATCGCGCCGCAATGTCTCCGACGAAGCCCCGGCGAGGCGTCTGTCGGACCACTTGACCGAGCTGGAATCGGCTTCGTCTCTGTCAACAACTGTTCCAAACAGCGCAGCAGCATCCTTCGATCCGCTTGCACGAGCAGCCGCTCGTAAGAACCAGCTTCCCCGAGGCCGGTAAGAGCCCTCCGACCACATCTCCAGTCATGCGCATCTGCAGACAACAACATCGAACACATTCAATGAACAACAACTAATCCCGACACCTTCATTACAGATACCAATTCCGCTCCCCCAAATACAACCGTGGTCCCCTCCACCCTCACCAACCGCCGCCACCATCCCACCCCTCCTCCCGGCTGTTCGTCCCAGGCCCCTTCTCCGCCCCCCGAGCAGAGCAGACCTTCGACTCAACCGTTTCCCCCGACATCATGACCCTGTGCTACGTGCACACACCACCAGGCTTCAAGCCTCCCCCAAAATCGGCCCGTCTCCGCGAGTGGGACGACAGCTCGCCATACCACAAGAACCGTGTCCTCCGCGGACCCCGTGGCGGCGACGTCCTACGCCTGCTCCGCAAGCCGATCAAGTTCAACAACATCCCAGAAATCGAGCGCATCACAATCCACAGTTATGTCAAGAACGCCGCGGCTGAGAGAAACTCGTCTTGGCTGCACGTCGCTGGTATTGCCGTCCAGGCTATCTCCAATGTTCGCGTTGAGACTTTCAAGTCCAAGTCTAACGTTGCTCCTTGGGGCATTGCGGCAAACCGTGACTCTGTCGCTGTTAAGGCTGAGTTGTATGGCGAGAACATGTACCACTTCCTTGGTAAGCTGGTTGATGTTGTCTTGCCCCGTATCAAGGATTGGGAGGGTGTCAAGGGATCCAGTGGTGACAGCAGTGGTAACATTACTTTTGGTCTGGTGCCGGAGAATGTTGCTCTGTTCCCGGAGCTTGAGATCAACTACGATATGTAAGTGTGCTCGTCCACGTCTATTGCTGTGGCAAGACTAACCCTGCTTTATAGGTACCCCCCAAGATGATCCCTGGTTGCCACATCACTATCCACACTACCGCCAAAACCGACAAGGATGCACGACTCCTCCTGAGTGCCATGGGTATTCCCTTCTACGGCAAGATTGTGAACTAGATTGTTTTTGCCTGGTGACTATTTTTGGTCTTTATTATATCTCCTTTTGGATAGACTTGTGATATCCAGCATGTAACTTTAGAGAAGACCTGCATAATGGTCGTTGTGATTATTCGGAATCGTGTACTATCTTTGGCTTAAATTCAATCTACATTTACAGCGAGAAACAGTGCACAGCATGATTGGAAAGTGACAGCAGGAGTCTTTGCTCGGTTGCATCAAGTACTAGCCATGGCCGAGATAATCGTTCAATAGACGGGAGAGTTACCATCATGCGTAAAATCATATTACATACATGCATCGATGAGACACAGGGGAGAGGAAAGGGAAAGGAAACTGCAGCTACCACTAATTATGCGATAATAGGTGCAGCCAAGAACTCGCATTGGAGGAGTTCATCGGCACTAGGCCGTTGCTCGTAGTCCAGGTGAAAAGTCATATCGAGGAAATCCACAGCCTCCTGGCTCACATGGTCTGGCGCAGGAGGGCGCGCCTTGTTGCTGCCGATAGCGAAAATGGCTTGCAGCTGGCTGCAGTCCGGGAAGGGGTGGGCACCAATGAACATCTCGACGACGAGACAGCCCAAACTCCAGATATCAGCTTTCTTGGTGTGTGCGGTCTGTCGCACAACTTCGGGTGCCATCCAGTACACACTTCCCTGGAGGGATGTGCGGTGAATATGAGAACTAGCGCCGCCACTGGCACGGGCGCCGAGGAGGTGGGATGCTTCGACACGCTTGGAGATACCGAAATCGGAGATCTTAACACCACCCTTATTATCAACTAGAATGTTGGCACCCTTGATATCACGGTGGATGATATCCCGGCCATGGAGGTATGACAGACCGGCCAAGATTTGTCGAACGAAGTTCTTGACAAGGGGTTCTTGGAAGGTGTTGTATTGCTTCAGCATTGTAGCAATAGAGCCACCAGGCACATACTCCAGGAAAATGTTGAGATACTGGTCGTCGGCGACGGTGCCAAGGTACTGCACAATGTTGGGGTGGGACATGCCTTGCAACAGCTCGATCTCGTGCTTAAGAGCACTGACCATGAGGTTCTTCCGCTGGTCGAACTCTGTGCCCTTAGTAGCAGATGGGATTTCAACCTGCTTGACAGCCATAAGCTCTCCAGTAATAGCATGAAGAGCCAGGTAAACGCTTCCGAAAGAACCCTCGCCGATCAGAGATCCCTTCATCCAGTTCTTTGGTGCGAAATTATTACCAGCCAGGAAGTCCACAAGGCCATCATCCTCTTCTTCGCCATCCTCAGCTACAATCATGCTCATCCGATCGTTGAAGGAACCACCATCTGTGGCCGCGACACTGAGACTCTCAAAGCTCTGGTGCGACTGGCGCGAGGGATTTGGTTCGTCGGAGCCACTCTCAAAGGAGACATATGACTTTCGGTTAGGCTCAATGGGTGACTCTTCCTGAAGTGGCTGAAGGGAACTAGATGCAATGGAATCCCGATATGAGGTTTGAGGTAGATTGAACTTGGAAACGGAGATGGGTCGCGGGGCTCGTACTGCCTGTGCCACTCCAGGGCCATGGAGCCATGCATCGGCAATGCTGGGGATTGGAGGTAACTGGGGCAGTGGCGGCAGAGGAGGGGCATCTTTCATACTTGATGCAACGCTGTAGTTGCTCACGACACTCATACGACTTGCGGCACGACTCAAACGTTGAGATCTGCGCATGGTCTTCTCGATATTTTCTCGGTCATGGCTGGGGAAGAATGATTGTAGTTCGTGAATAATCATCTCACTTGGAGGTCTCTGGCCGAAGAATGAGCGGAGTTTAGCCACAGGATTGCGTTCATTGTTCGGTCCCTGCGGTTCGTCGGCACTGGATGTGGATGGGCGATGTCGAGGACCCAGCGGAGAAAGCGGCTGCTTAATATTATGCCAAGATTCGCCGGTAAGTTGCTGGATCTTGTGTTTCTGGCGCTGGTTGGAATTATTCAGAGCGTGCTGGTGGGTTGCCTGGCTTTCATCATACGCAAGCTGAGACGCACGACGAAGCTCGTCTTCATCAGGCTCCCCAGCATGGATCTTCCGTAGAATCAAGCGACCTCGCTCGGACTTGTTGAAGCCATCGCAGATCTCCATGAGCTCCGATTCAGTGAGCTTCCGGCAATTTGACAGTTCTGGATCCAATCCGTCCAAAACATAGAAACAATAATTTCTGTATTGGTGTTCAGGAAGCTGTAGTTTCTTCAACACACACAAGATAACTTCATCCGGCGTTTTGCAGTTCCGAATATTCAATACCTTGGTTTGTCCACCGGTGTGGATGACACGGATAACAGGGGAATTTGTCGGGAGGGGGCCCATCGTGAGGCCGTCAAGGCTAGGATTTCGAGGATGGGAACTTGGTCGACCTTCGTTTGGAGTACCGGGATTTCGGCCAGAACTTGAGCCCCCTGAAGAGGGATGATTAAGGTAGT